ACCCAGCTAAGCATCCAGTTTATGAAAAGAAGAGGCCTAGGGAGTTTCCTGATCCTAGAAAGCAACTTCATAAAAAGATGCTGATAATGTTGTCAAAGAAAGTAAGAGTCCATCCCAATCTGGCAGCCAAACTTGGCAATGTCATCCACATGGTACTGGCTTTAAAGGCATGAAAGATACAAGTAATGAGGTCCTGGAGCCTTCCTCTGATTTCAGAGAGTCACTGATGCCAGGCAGCATGTACCAGTGATGGAGTCATTGTGCAGAGGGCTGTGAGAGGCCATTGGGTGAAGCTGTGAAGGGGAAACCTGAGTTATTGTGGAGACCCCAAGATGCTAGAAATTCCAGAGTCATGAGACATCTGCCAAAGAGAGCTGAATACAGGGAGTGGATCCAACCCAGGAGAGGAGAGATATATTATGGAAAGAGCCATTTAAGTCCTTTGAAACTAAAGCCCCAGATATCAGACATGGAGCTATAGGATTTTGTGTTTGCCATGAAGGGTTTCAGTATTGCTTTGGGTCTAATAATCCCTCACTATGTCTCCATTCCTCCCTTTTGGAATGGAAATGTATATTCTGTGCCATTGTATGTTGGAAGTATGTAATTTTTTTTTATTTTACAGGGGGTCACAATTAAGAGATTGCCTTGAGTCTCAGAAGAGACTTTGGAGTTTTGAATAGTGTTGAGACTATTAAAGACTATGGAGATGTTTGAAGTTGAACTAAATATATTTTGTATTGATATATATGGTCATGAGCCAGTGGAGGGTCAGGGACAGAATGCTGTGGTTTGAATGTGAAATATCCCCCATAAGCTCATTGGGGTATATTGAATACTTGGTCCCTGGTTGGGGTTGCTATTTGGGGCGATTATGGCATCTTTAGGAAGTGGAGCCTTGCTGATAGAAATACAGCACTGGGAACAGGCTTTGAGAGTTTATAGCCTCACCCCACTTCCAGCTCTTTCTCTTTATCTCTCTCTCTCTCTCTCATTTCCTGTGTGAAACTGAGATGTGATCTATCAGCTTCTTGCTCCTGCTGCCATGCTGTCCCCACTATTATGGACATTTATCCCTCTGGAACTGTAAGCCAAAATAAACTCTTCCTTAAGTTGTTTTTGGTCATGGTATTTTATCACTGCAACAGAAAAGTAACTAATGCATGTGGTCTGGAGAGAATCATGTTAATCTTTAACTTCTCAGTCTGTTGGACTGGGCAGGTTCTCAGTCACTCCACAAACTCCCTAGTTGATATATCTTGACAAGGCTAATGTCTAGCCAAGGCATGTTTCCCAAGTGTATTTAGGTTAGGGGGAGGTACACAGAGTACTGAGGTGTCTTACTGGAGGACCCCTCTCAGTTCTTTCTGATCCTGGTCAGCGTTGAACACCCTGTGAAGAAAGAAGATTGCTTGGAGTATCCAAGACTTGAGCTTTAGAATTCTCAGTCCTGGGTGGAAAACTGAAAGACTTGCCTCAGAATTCAAGCCCCCTACTGCCCTCTGGCTCAAGGGCATCAGTCTCTACTATGGTTATCTTATACCTTGACAACAAAGGCAGGGCCACAGACTAAGAAACCCTTAATTGCCAAAATCTCCTTCCACCTAAGCAACCAGGACTGCAAAACTATGAACCACAACTACCAAGCCATGAGAACTGCTCCTGTAGCCATTTTCAGGACCTGTGGCTAGTTAATTCCAGGATCTCTGAGTTATTGTTCCTTGTTCTCTAATTCCTGAAGTAGCTCAGTCTTAACAGCTTTCCACTCAAGATAGTGCCCTGCCACAGCCCTCTGAGACATAGAGAGTGGTAAAATGGATGCCTCTTCACTGCTGACCAATGTTACAAGAGTAACTGTCTCACCAGAAGCCCCTACTAGACTGAAGATTTTCAGGAACTGTGGACTTGGGACTAAAGAGATGGATCAGCAGTTAAGAGCGCTGGCTGCTCTTGCAGAGGACCTGGGTTCAATACCTAGCACCCAACATGGTGGCTAACAACCATCCTAACTCCAGTTCCAGGGGGTCCAATATCCTCTTCTGACCTTTGTGAGAATTGTACTACAGGCTATGTTTTTATACATGCAGACAAAACACTCATACACATAAAATACTTTTATTTTTTTTTTAAGAACTGTGGGCTTAGCCCACTTGGCTTCACCAAAATCATGTGGTTTCCATTTTGGATGCAGCTTTTGTAACCGACTCCCTTCTGTTTCTGTTTCTACTGTCTGACCATCCTTTTGTAGCTTCTAGTGCCCTTCTACTCTTTCTTTCTTTCTTTGGAATAGTCTACTCTTTGTATCCTGATTCTTCTCATTTACCATACCGAACAAAGGTCAGATGGTGACCTAGTCACCATCTTCCCCTGGAAGTCCCTCATTTAGAGCTTACTAATGTTTGAATTTGATGCCTATTGCTATCATTCTTTTCATCAATCCTAAAACATTGTCACCTGTATGGTAGTCACAACTTCATCAAATTGAAATCATGAATACACAATTTTAGTACTTTATTTTCAGAATCTGCATAATTTGTATGTTAACTTGCCCATCCAGCTTCTCTAAAATCAAAATAAAACCAATCATTTTTCTGTCCTTTTGACACTGCATGGTCTGCTTTATACATTGGGTCCTTTTATTCAACTCAGTAACTTACTTTAGTATTTTTAAATAATTATTTCTCTCTACTACCAAGACTCTTCTCAAAGCTTTATTGTTGTCTAGTGTGATTATTATATATTTATTAAATACTTCTCCATTTTCAGTTTCCATGCTTTTAACTCTACATAAAATCAAATTTTAGTTTGTTTAGGTTTTTGTTTCTTTGTTGGTTTTGCAGAGGATTGAACTCAGGACCTCAAGAATTTTGGGCATGTGGTCTACCACCAAACTACACCTCTCTAATCATTTGAATTTAGTTTCATCACTCTTACTAACTTTTGCCCACATTCTTACCAAATTCTTTACTGATAACTATTCTCACTAGTTTTCCAAGGTTTGTTGACCTAAAGTGTATATAATATGTATATAATGCCTCTACCTAGCACTGCTCCTTCTTCTAACACACTGAACCTTTAACCAAGCAATCTTACATACATAAAACAGTTTGCTCCTAAGAGATACATAGTATATAGCATTTCAACCAATAAGCTACAAGTAGCAACTGACTAGGTATGAATAAGCTATATTTTATCACAGGAGATTTCATTTATGCAACAAACACTTATTCATCACCTAACAAGTGTTTTTCCACATTCTAGACTCTGATATCACAATGAATAATACTAAGTAATATTGGCATTACTGAATAGGCTTGTAGAACCAGTCTACAGGGGTTGGAGAGATGGCTTATCAGTAAGAGCACTGACTGCTCTTGTAGAGGACCTGGGTTCAGTTTCCAGCACCCACATGGCAGGTAATAGTCATCTGTAATACCAGTTCCAGGGGATCCGATGCCCATTTCTAGAGTCCATGGGGACCAGGCATACACAATGCAAATATATGTATGCAGGCAGGCACTCATACACATAATATAAAATAATTTTTTGGTCTTTTTGAGACAGGGTCTCCCTGTAGCCCCAGCTGTCCTGGAACTCACTATGTAAACCAGGCTGGCCTTGAACTCACAAAGATCTACCTGCCTCTGCCTCCCAAGTGCTGGTATTAAAGGAATGCAACACCATGCCCAGCTGAAATATTTTTAAACTGTCTATAGAGTTTGGTTTTAGCAAGCCCAACAAGTTTTAAATTAAATTTTAAATTAAATGAAATTTAAATTTTAGTTCTTCAATTATATCTAGCCACATTTCAAGTACTAAATACCCATATATAACTAGTGGCTACTGTATTTTACTGTGTGAATATGGAACATTTCCATTAACAGAGAAAGTTTTATTGGACAGTGCTGCTCTACAGAGATTGCAACCAATATGGAAAAATAACCCAATTAAAAATAAAAATTATGTTTAAGGAAAGCGTGGTCCCCAAAACAAGGAATTGATCAGTGCTCATGATGTCAAAAAACTAGTCACAACCAGGTTGTTTCTAGTGGCCTAACTGGTCACTTCTGTCTGTTTGCTTGTTAGCTTAAAACAAGTATTGTCGCCAGGCGTGGTGGTGCATGCCTTTAATCCCAGCACTGGTCGACATAGTGAGTTACAGGCCAGCTGCTTGGGCTACAGAGAGATCCTGTCTCAAAAAGTCAAAAAAAAAAAAACATGTATTGTCTCAGTGATTCTGGTCTCAGTGGACTCCATCTCATTTGGGGTGTCTCCTGCAGTTGTAGTCAGTCGTCTAAAGTCTTTGCCTCAGCTAGATATCCAAGTAGGCACCCAACTAATCTTATAGCAGCAACAACAAAAATCACAGAATAGCCTAGGTAAATGGAATTACTCTAGATTATACAGCATAGGTAGCTATATTATGCCTGTCCTACTGGTGACAATTTGAAGGGTGCTTTTTGGGTTAACAACTTTTAAAAAGCCTTCTGCCAAACACTCCTGCAGTTTATTAAATCCACCTGATAGAAGGAAATAAGATAACTTACTTGTTGCCGGGCATGGTGGCGCACGCCTGTAGTCCCAGCACGTGGGCTGCAGAGGCAGGTGGATCTCTGTGAGTTCAAGGCCAGCCTGGTCTGCATAGTGAGTTCCAGGCCAGCGGGTGCTACAAGGAGACCCTGTCTCAAAAAGACCAAAAAAAAAAAAAATCGATAACTCATTTGTAATCTGTACTGACCTGTTCCTGTTATATGCTATAAACATTCACACTATAACACTAGATAAGAGAGTGTCCAATACACATTGTAAGTTCCTAGAAAGCAAAAGGCAAGCTTTTCTAGGTTCCAGATGCCTGCTAATTGCTAGCTTCTCACTTCATAGAAAAATAAAAAGTACCACAGTCTGAAAATCTTTAGTAACTGTTGGTTGTATTCTACACTCATCTATTCTTAATCCTTTTTTCTGTTCGGCCTTCCTGATCGCTATTTTCTCTTTAACAGACAGTGTGGAGCATTCATTATTAAGATAATTGGCAGCTCTAGTCCAGCTCAACTGATTTCTTGTCCAGTGATCCTTGTGTGACCAAGATCCAGCTTCAAAGAACCGGCTAGAAGCTGCCTGTTGTGAAACTTAGGGTTAGTTAATACCTCACCATACTTATTTATTCCACTATAAGCTGTCTAAATTTGATGAAATTTGCTTTTTCTGCTGTTTTATAAAATATAGGTAGGTAGGTGTGGCATGTTGGTTTTTTATGTATTAGTTTAATTGTAATAACATTTTCTAAATGTTTTGTCCATTCCATAAAAACTATACTGGGAATAGTAAGCTGACTTTCATTTTCTCTGCTTTGAGTTATTTATTTTCTTCTCATGGTTTTAGACATTTTGTTTAATATCTTTAATATTTATTTTAATATTTTGGATAAGATTAACTTCTAATTTTAATATGTTCATAACTTGTAGAACGTAATAGCCTCAATGGTTTCGTTTTATCACTTTCCTTTGCTGTGTTATCATTTATATGTTTTGTCTAATTTTTTTTATTTGTTACTATTACTCATTTAATTTTGCTTCTGCCGTGGTTTTCTGAATTTAAATAGTATTTATACTTCTTTGATGATAATGTATTCCAAATATTAGAAATACCACCAATATGATCAATATTCTTGCTTTTCATCCCATTAATTTGGCTGTATTAAATATTTTCTCTAATATTTGAGATCAAAATGCAACCTCCTATATCATCATCATCATCCATTTGGCACCAAACTTTATATAATGTTGATCCACCTCATGGAATTTTGTCAAAAGAAGGACTCACTTCTGACATTATCATATCACATTGCCTGACATATCAGTGTACTAGTGTTCTCAGAATGGTTTCTTCTAACCTTTTCTTCTCATTTTTAACCAATATATATAGTTATATATGATGAATTTTTAGAAAGACAATTATTTTCATAAAATGCAAGATTATTTTGTATACCGAAGGAAAACTGTAAATTCTGGTTCTTAGGCCAATTCACGTTATAAACTTAGAAAATGGAAGAAGGGATTCATTGTTCAAAAGCTATAGAACAAGTCATAAGTTTTTAATCAGGAAAATTTCTTTTAGAAATAAAAGAAATATCCCTTTTCATACAAATTTACAGTTCTCTTACTGACTTGTTAATTTGAGAACAGAAAGGGAAAAGTCTAAAAATTGGCAGTACCCTAATAATTTGCCCTTCCTCGCCTATTCCAATCCCAGATGAATTACATGTTCAGCATCAGCAGCAGAAACAGGACCAGACCCCAAACTTTCCCCATGAGCCAAATAGGGTGTTTTCTTTGAAAACCATGATTATGTTTTCCATTTGAGTGGTTTCATGAGACTAGCAGGATGGCATGACAGTATATAAGCATACAAATGTCTCATGTGCACTTATTCTCAGTTTTAAGAAATGCAATCACAAAAGCCAGGCATAGTGGCACACACCTTTAACCCCAGCACTCAGGAGGCAGAGGTAGGCAGATTTCTATGAGATCAAGGCCAGCCTGGTCTACATGGTGAATTTCAGGCCAGCTGGGACTTACAGGGAGACACTGTCATAGAAAAAAAAAAAAAGAAGAAGAAGAAGAAGAAGAAAAAAGAAAATGTTATAGACTAATAAGTCCCATAAGGAAATTTTAAAATAATTTTGTTCTGTAATTTTTTTGGTCTTTTTGAGAAAGGGTCTCCCTGTAGCCCCAGCTGTCCTGGAACTCACTTCGTAGACAAGGCTGGCTTTGAACTCACAGAGGTCCGCCTGCCTCTGCCTCCCAAGTGCTGGGATTAAAGGCATGCGCCACCACCCCCGGCCATGTTCTGTAATTTTTAAAAATTATTAACCAGTGATGTTAGAAATCTTTTCTTAATAGCACTATTCCTGAGAACAAAAAAGTTACTGTTTGATTTTTAAAATGTTAAACATGATGCTAAACAAAGCCTGAACTATTAATAAAAATTAATGATGTATTATATTATTGGGCCAAGAATTCTGGTCATAATTCATACCCAAGTGTGTTTTTTTAAGTTATATAGTTATAAGCATACACACATATAAACATAGATTATATATGTACTCACATACATATTTCATATATACACACATACATTTACATATGTATAGTGTCTTAGAATTTAACTTTATTTTGAGACACTAATAAAAACTTTGGAATTCATTGACAGTTGAGTACATGGATGAAACCATTTGTCCTTTGTGGCTTAGCCTGATAGGTCAAATATGCTACTTCTAATAATAGACTGAGAAGACAAACTTTCTCCTTACACATTCTAAGTGAAGTCCATTAAGTTATTTCTATTTTGAAACATATCCTCAATCAACCATTTTTAAAAGTAAACGCTTACTTTAGTACTCATTTTGAAAGACCAATCTGAAGAAATCATCTGAAATTCACTGTGTTAAGATGAAATAGATAATATAAACATTTGTACATGCACATGTATTCAAATCGCTTTGCAACTTCTTTTGTAAAAATCTCAAATACAATCAAGATAGAAAGAGGTCTTCAAAATTTAAGGCTTTAATTTCTTGTCAGCTCATTCACAAGAATGTATTGGAAAGAAGTATGATTAGCTTATGATAAATTAATTTATAAATTTCTACTAATAATGGCAGCACAATACTTTTGAACAAATTTATACATGATATAATGCCTATATTCAGAATTTATTTCCTGGATATATGCTATAATTAACCATAAAATAATGAACAGGGTCACACACTAAAATTCTTTGTATTGTTCCCAAAAGTTGTACTTGGATAGTATTAAAATACAGATTCAAAAGCCTAGAAAGAACTTTAAAAGAACAGCCAATTCAAATTTGGTGTCATATTTTAATATGTTGTATTGCTACTATAATAAATTGTTAGACTTCTACTTTTGACTCAGATTTACTCTGAAGTCCTTATAGACTTAAAAGAGAAAAAGGGAAGACTGGATAGATAGCTCAGCTGGTAAACTGCTTGCCATGAAATCATAAAGACCTGAGTACATTCCCAGGACCCATGTAAAAGAGGTGGGCATGATGACTCACACTTACAATCCCAGCACCAGAGAGACAGAGACAGGCAGATCCCTTGGGCTCGCTGGCCAGCCAGCATAATCTAATGATCAAGTACCAAGTCAAGTTAGAGACCCTGTCTCAAAAAACAAGGTGGATAACACCTGAGGAACAATACTTGAGTTGACTTCTGGCCTCTACACACAAGTGCACACACCCCCACACATGTACATATGCCCCCATGAACATGTGTATACACAAAGACACACCAGAGGCAAAGGGAAATTTTTTACCTGAAAATGGATATAAATAATACTAATATTGATGCTGTTTCTTTCACTTTACTCAGTGTTTTCATTACTCTGCATACATTCCTAAAGCTATGCAATCAGCTTCCAGTATTCCCTGTTGATTACCACTCTCTGATTACCAGCTATCTGGGCTGCTGATATTGTTTTATTCTCTTTGCTTCTATGTATTACACAAATCTTCTACTGTATACATTCTGCTTATTTCTCTCAACAATCAATGCTATTCAAGATTACTTATTTCATGTTGCCAAGCTTTCCATTTCTTGCCCTGTGTGACATAATTCTTCATCAGTTTTATACCTACTAGTCTCATGGCTATTTTAATGTTACCCATTTTCTGCTTGTCCAGAATCTGCAAATATGAAACAGAAGGCACAAATTTCTAAGTAATGAAGTAATAGATTATAGGTTTCTGATTTTATTACTCTCTTTAGGCATGCTTATTAACATGCTGTCACTTATTATAATGCCGTTTGATCATAGCTAACTAAAAACACATAGTAACAGGCTATATAGAGAGAGTTCATATAAGGCATCACTGGTGAGTGGTTACACGTTTACATATTTGTTTTTAAAATATGTAATCTCTATACTTCCACCTATTGACTTGTCATTTAGTCATATGATAAGGTATTTCTTAATAGAAGCCACAATTTCATTATTTGATAACATATGGCAATAATTTTCTTTTTAATTTTTTTGGTTTTTATTTTATGTGTATGAATGTTTTGCCTGCATGGATGTAAGTGCACCCATAAGTGCCTGGTGCCCACAGAGGCCAGAAGAAGGCACTGGATTTTCTGGAACTGGAGTTAAGAATCGGTGTTAGCCACCATGTGGGTGCTGGAAACAGAACCCCAGTCCACTGGAAAAGCAGTAAATGCTCTTAACCACCAAGCCATCTCTCCAACCATGGCAATAATTTGTCTTAAGGAAGCTAGTTTGCTAACTTCAATTTTGCATTTCTATCCAAGTGTGTAGCTCTAGAGTAATTGTCATTTAGTATTTGTGATGGTTAATCAGCTTGACGGGAATCATTGAAGAAGCAAACCTCTGGCCACATCTGTGAGAGATTATCTAGGTTAGGTTAACTGAGGTGGAAAGGTTCACCCTAAATGTGACTGAGATTCATGGACTGAGATCCCAGACTGAAGAGAAAAGAAAAATCAAGCAGAGCAGCAGCATTCATCACTGTCTGCTTCCTGATTACAGACACAAAATGACCAGCTGCCTCGAACTCCTGCCACCATGACTTCCCCAGCACAAATTGTACTGAGAAGTGGGGCCATAGCTGTGATAAACCTGACCACATGGTTGCTCAGTCTTTGGAATTGTTTTGCAGGAGAAATGTTGAACTTTGGGGTAGAAAAGCCCTAGAGTGCTGTAAGCAGGACTTAACGTGTCATTCTGGTGAGAGTTTAGAAAACCAGAATGCCAGGGGAAGCATGGACAGTGGAGGCCAAACTCATGAAGTTCAAGGAGGAACAAGGACTCCAAAGGGAACTTCTGAAGAAGAATCTGGCTACATTCTTCCCATATATGAGAATCTGAGTGAGGCTGAATTTTAAAGTAATGAACTAATGTTTGGCAGAGGAAATATCAAGGCAGGAAAGCATTCATACTATGGAATAGTTACCGATCACTACTTTTATCCAGGTCTACAGTGAAAAAGAGCACAAGTGAGATAGAAAGATATAAAAAATGTGCAGTATAGTGAAGTAAAAGCCATGAAGAAGATTAAAATTGCAGACAAGACACGTATTCCTATAATTATTAAAAAGATTGCTCCATTTCAGAGAAATCTGATACACTGTGAACAACAGGAAAGGTGCCAGAGCACAAGACCCCACCCAAGGAAGACTGCATTTTGTGAAAATGCCAATTCACTTGGAAGGAGAGAGCCTAAACTCAGAATCACACTGAAGTATAGTGACCCTCCTTGTCTTAATTTAAGGGCAATAGCA